ACTAGCAGAATTTGACCTTTGTCATTTCATTTTTCAGTTTCCTGAATAGGTGTCTCTGTGCAACCCTGCCACTGGACTTGCCCCACAGTTGGCAAACTCGTCCTGGTTAACATGTGCCTAACATCATCCCAGCGCCGCAGGATGGAGACACCCCGAGTTTTGGCTTTTCCTGTGTGTTTGAGGGGCTGTCACAGGCTGCAACTTTAACCTGAAGGATGTCCTGCTGCCAGGAGCCAATTGGATCCACGAGGTGGGAGAGCTTTAAGCTTATTTCACTGTTTGGATTAACTCTGAACTCTTTTGAAAGAAAAAGCTTAAGGGGAAGAAAGTTTTTGCCAAATACAGAAATCACTGAATTTATTCAAAAAAGACTCTTTGGATGACTTTTGAGCATATGTTGTGCTCCAAAGGCATACAGTAAGAAAAATTATCATTTCTTTCATCAGGATTTTCATCGCTACTTCTTTAATGTTCAGTGACAAAATGAATTATACTACAAAAATGCTTGGTTCCTCTCCTCAAACACATAGATCCTGTAAGATACTGGGTGTCCTTGAAAGACAGCTGAGGGAGATCAGTAAAGAAATACTTGACATATTGCAAAATAGACAAAAAAATATAAGAATGAGCAAATGCTAACGAGCCATGGTGACTAGTGAAGCTTACTAGTGATTTAAACCCACGAGCTTCAAACATGGATAGCAGAAAGTGCAGAGCTAGTCAGCCTTCTAGGTCACTATGGGCTCAGGGCAGTTTGACTGAGACATTTCATGGGACTTTTGGGACCGGGAAGCAGGTGGAAATTTATTATTTGACCATGAGCATGACTAAACCTGCCCTGAATAAACCATTGGAGACTCCAATGTGTCAATGAACACAGCAGCCATCCAATTCTTTCCATTCCTGGTGATTCTAGATGTGCTTACAGAAAATGAAAGGCAATTTTCTATAGTGACATACTACAGTAGATGCATTAAAAAGCTAATTGCACATGGGAGTTAAAGATAAATTGATATGCTCATAAATACCTACGTTTCCTTTGCTTTCCTGATCTCGAATGAAGTTTATAATTTAATTGGAGAAATTACCAGATTCACTCAGACACTAGTGAGACTCTCAAAGGAGAACAAGCCGCTTATGCAAGTGTTTTTGTAAAGCAAAGAATATTCAAGTAGTGTAAATACATAATTGGAAATAATAATAAAAAAAAAGGTCCTCAGTTGCCCACTTGAAAGCTTAAGGTTCACACAGTTGTAAAGCTATAAGGATAGTGGTGGTCTGCTCCTGAGTTGAATATTAATGAAAACATTTCTATCGCAATTAAAATGAAAACACTCCCATATATTACCATTCCATAGGGAAAACTTCTGCTGAGGGGTAACTTGCAGAGGGATACTACTACGCTGTTGTTAAATGTATGCCACAATAACACATGAGACTTAATTAATTAATTAATTCCTCTGTAGAATGGATGAGGAAAATACAGAGAAGGCAGCAATCTGGTCGGTGTTAAGCTGGCCCCTAACTTGCGAACGTCCCCTGAAGTTTGTAGCACCTGTTGTGGATTCACCAGGGCAGATCTGCTCCTTTTAAGGAAAGGCCTCTCAATACTTCCAAAATTGTGAAGTCTTAACAATACTGAATATCAGTATAGAGTCACAGCTGGCTGGAGAGACTAAAAGACAACCTCCCCAAACAATAAAGTAGCAAATACACTTTTCCTGAGAGCAATGCACTCAGCTTCTGAGATGGATTAAATTTAGAACAGATAATGTGAGTGAGAAACTGTTAAAACTGAGGATATTTTTCACTTACGTAATGCAAGTTAGAGGTTTCTATTACTGCTGAAATTGCAACCAAAGCTGAGACGGGTCAGAAAACCCTGGAGCTTAAGTACAGAAGCTTCAAGGTGTGAAAGAGTATAAAAATAAATTCCAAAGGGCTTAATAATATATTGTATAGAAGCTAGATATTCGAGTGTCAAAAAGAAACTGTTGGCTCTTAGATCAACACTAATCACCAGATGGCAATAAGACTCTTTGTTTTAGCCAGAAAGTTATTCTACAACCATTGGGGTAAGGATTTCCACTATCATCCTGAATTACAGTTAATTTGCAATTTATAAATGTACAAGTCACTTACAATGTAACAGTTAAACACAAACTCTTTTGCAATGAATGTGGTTAAACGTTCAGTAGCCTCATCCAGGGGGCTACTGGGGAATCTACTAAGGACCTTTTGCTTGATTTGAAAGAGATTATTATCAGCATTTTGGTGAACTTCTACAAAAATAAGTAAATGGAGGGAGCTGTACCTCACAGCTTATTCTCAGGACCATCCTTTAAATCGAATCAAACATATTCAGAACTCGCAGAAAGTCCACCTAAAGCTCTGAAATTAAGAAATCTTTCTGATTCTCTACGCAGAACACCCTCTAATTCCCTCTGCTACAAGAAGAGATGAGGAGAAAAAAATGTCTTCTCTTAGTCTCCCATCCCAGAAGACTTTATTTATGTGTTAGTCGACCTTTCTAGCCGTTAGGACCATCTTGCTTCAGCAGTTAATTAACACAAGTGCCATAATTTAATACAGTTAATGCTACTTGATGCCCTTTAATGTACCTTCCATTAGTGATATTATTGTAGTATTACCCTGTAAATTAAAATGAGATCAAGACTAAGAGAGGCTCTCTTTAATTAAGGTACTGGCACACTACATTGTCCATTATTCACTAGAAAAAAAATCGCCCTGATTTAGTGAAGCAGACCGTCCGTAAGTCAGAATTAGTTCATGTGGATTATTAGGTTTCTTGAATAATGTGAGCACGATGGGCTTGCTGAAATTGCTAATAGCCATGTTTCCTTTTCTTTTTTTTTTCATTATCTTAATAAACACACAATGAAAGTGGTAAATTGATGAATGAACAAGTGGTAATAGAAGAGGTAAAGTGTTCATCAAGAGTGCGTGGGTTTTTATCTCTAATGCAACATGCATCAGGTCTATTTCATGGCCAAATGCAATGGGGTGACAAAACAAACATATTAAAAGGGAAAATCTCCTATCTTTAATTCATTATGAAGTATTAAACCCACACACTAGGATCTTGTATATTAAATATGATATCTTTAAGATAGGTATTTTTCACTCTCACTGAATCTTAAGGTAAAATATAAAACAATTTAGATGGTATATTGCCTTAAAAATATACTATTATGAGCTTTAGTGAATTTAACTGTATTAAAACAAGAAGCTATTTTTGAAGTCAAAGGAACAGCTTTAAATAGCTAGCATCACTCATCCACGACATACCAAGCACCTCGGTAACATCCTTCAAGTACCTCGGTAACCTCCTTTTGTACCCTGGTCTCATGGAACTGGCTTTACTAAATGCATATAAATGTTTTGACTTCAAAACCCATCATATTACCCATTATTATGCAAAAGTATTATGATAACAATTCCCAGTTATCAGCTTGGATTGACATGCAAGGGCTAGAAAGTTCAGCTGAATCAGAAGCACCAGCATAAAAGTGTTCGCAGCCTCTGCTCCTCTCTGTCAAGTTTCCACCTACTTATTTTTCAGGGAATGCCAGAGAACTGGCCATAATGCTCAGGTGGAGAGTCTTCAGGGCAGACCCCATTGCTTCATAACTCCTAATATTGATTTATATTTTTCAGTAGATTATGTCACAGCAATTTGGTTCTAGTTCAATTTTATGAATTGAACTTTGCATCATGGATGCCAAGGCAGCAGCCATTTCCATAAAAGAGGTAGAAAATGGAAAGCTTAAATCACCAAAGGAGTAATTAAAAATGTAGCTTTCAGCATTTTAAATAATCACCTTCTCTAATTTACCCACTCATGTGCCTGTACAAAGTACCTTGGCCTTCCAGGACACATTAAGTTTTATTTTTTACTCCCCAAAAAACCTCCTATTGCACTGATGCTGTAGTTCACCTAGAAGAAATAAATGAGACTTTTTATTTTTTTTTAAACAAGCTGGCACCCAAGATATGTGTAAGGGGTATCACCCCTCCTGCTTGAGGTCATCAGTCAGTTATTAGTTTGAGTTGGGAAGAAAATTTCCCGATAGGAATGTCATTATGCAGTTATTTTTTGAGGACTGTGACACCTGATACTCGCCACCACTTGCTGCAGAGGGACTATTTATCTTAAATGCAGTGGAATAATAATTTTTCTTATATTCAAGCGAGTCCTATGCTCTCCAGATCACTGCTGAATTTCTCCCTTTTACTGCAGCTTTGCTGCATTTCAGAGCCCATTAAAGTACAAGGAACAGGCTCTAATCTCTGTGGCCTTCTTTGTTCATATATGATTCACCCCGTGGAAGGGTTCCACACAAGGGCTGTTGTATCAGTTACATGTTACATTAAAGCCCCGAAAAAAGTCAAACGATAAAACAGAATCTCTCCTTTTAGTTAACTAGCATCAGGCTCCAACTGCATAAAAACAAAAAATAGAAAAGCAACGGCCACAAACGCGGGGAATTCTGCTTGAGCGCAAGAAGCCGTGAGGGTGGTTGAGCACAGGAAGACGTTGCCCATGGAGTTGTCATCCTTGGAGATGTTCAGCCCTGGCTGGACGTGGCCCTGGGCAGCCTGCTCTAGCTGACCCTGCTTGAACTGCACGTTGGACCAGGGCCTACAGGGCTGTCTTCTAGCCCCAGCTATTCTGGATCTTGGGAAAATGGAACAAAAAAGGCCCTGGGAAGTGTCCCAGTGCCAAGGTGAATTTCTGAGCCAGGGTACGAAACTCCTAATCTCTTAAGAGCTCAGGTGCTTCCTAGAGCTAGTGGCCTAGAAATTAGTGCCGCTGAGTCAGAAACCTCTGGTATTTTCAGAACCTTATTTCAACAGAGCCATATTAGTGGTAAACACACTTGTGTAGAGATGTTGTCATGTTTGGGAAAATAAATAGTTTTGACCAACCTCAAAAAACAAACATACATGCATGTTCCTCAAGGTGTGTATTCTCTTACCTTCCATATACCCTTATGTCTGAAATTGCATAAAAGTAGCGTGCCAGGTGTTGCTCATCTACATATATTTCTCCAGTTGCTGGCCTAAGCAGTCGTATCCTCAGGTCAGTGATGGTAAAGAAATCTCTTAACTTCTTGGTTGTGTCAAGCTGGCCATACAGAGAAGCCATATTATGAAGTCGAGGTCCAGCAAAGAAAGCAAATCTGTCTTTGATTTCAAAGTGGATTATTTTACTATTTGTCATATACCCAGTAGAGTATTCTTCTGTGCAAATGATTTCTAGGACCGTGTGCTGTGATAAATCCCTCACTGATTTTGGATCCATGTGGAAAGCATCTAAGCAGTCTGTGGCATAATACTGGTAGGGCTGCCATGTTCGCCCATAGTCCAGGGATTTCTCCAGGATCATTTGGTCCGGACGGCCGGATTCGAACGTGATAACTATGTTATCAGTCAGCTCAATGGTTTTGTTCCAGGAGAGAGTAATATTAACATGAAGAGGCTTTGGATAATCCTTCCAAGTTGTGGACTGCCAAAACGTGGAGGGGTGCCTGCCTTCGAGATCGAACATCAGCTCTGGAGGGTGAGCCAGTTCTTGGGTACTCGCATCACATTCATTATTGCACATGTAGGGATTCCCCTGGAAAAGAGCAAAACAGGGTTACAAGGAGCACCCTATGGGCGACTACGACACGTAAAGGTGTTTTGTCTTTGGCCCATAAGAAATGCTTCTTTTTCTTTAGGAGTCAAACCAAGAAATGAAAATATGAATGCTTGCAAGGAATACGTTTATTTTAGCCCGACGTATCCTATGCAGTTTATTTTTAAAATTATCCCCCCACACATGTGCTAAGCACCTTTGCTTCTGTAATATACCTATTTTTCTTATTGTTTTAAAGAAAGTGTTCAATTACCCTGAATGAGTTTGACCAATAATCTAATCAAAAGGCCAAAAGACAAATGAGCAAATGCCTAATAGCTCAATAACTCTGACTCTTCTTAGAAAGAAGCAGCAGCCAAAGAGAATTTCTTTTTCACACAAGTATATTCCTCAAGAGCTCAGTCATTTTTAGGCCAAGTGTTTTGGAGTCAGCAATGCAGCCCCTATGTACTCCGCATGAAACGATCCCCAATGCAGCTCCATGCTTCTTTTTCCTTATAAACTCCTCAAATCTATCATGCTTAACTGTGTTCCCAGCACAGCAATGCCTTCCCTTGAAGCATTTACACTCGTCACTGAAAGTCATTAGAAATATAGTGCACTACAAGCTCAGGGGGTTGATTCAGACATCTGCCACCTTATTACAGGGCAGCAAAGTACTTCAGGAAAGAGTTTTCGCCAGGCACTGGCTCCAATTTATCAGGACAAGATAATCCAGTACTTGATTAGGTGGGAGATGTCGGCAGCTGCAGCTGGAAAGCTGCCGAGGTGGCTGCGGGTCTCAACTCTGGCTTGCGTTAAAAACAGCAACAAAAAAGGCTTGCCAATAACGCACAGCTTTTACTGCTACTTGTCCTCTGTAGCAAGGTGAAAGTGAATTATTCTCCTCTTGGCCTTTGGATGCATTAACTTGCACACTACCATCTCCCGTGTCTTCACAAAGGCTATTTTGTCTGCAGACCGGGGATATCTTGCAGCAGGTGCCAAGATATCAGACTCGTCGGCCGCACTGAATCACATCTATCTAATTTAGGATTTCAGCAGTACATTTTTGTTTGGCCATTGTTCATTCTGTATTTGCTTCAGAGAACAGTCTTCCACTGTGTGATAAATACCGGCTGCGGCAGAAACAATGTCTTTTATTTCGCCGCTGGTCAGCGCCGCTGGGGAACACGTTGCCCAAATCCCTACCTAGGAAGGGTGAACATGGCCATTACTGACATCAGCCAGAGTTCCTCTCCCCCAATGAAAATCAACCTTTTTTTTTCCCCTATTAATTACAATTCTCTCCACCTGAGGGCAATTAAGATACCCAGCACCATCCAGTATGTGAAATGAGTTTCAGACATGAGTGTCTCTCTTGGTCACTGCTCTGCTCCTTGACGTACTCCCGTGAGATTGAAGCAAAAGACTTACGCATTCACTCTGACCTCCCCAGAGGCAACTTTGTCTCACCTAGGCACAGAAATACTTATTTCTCGCTCGCTCTCTTTCCCATTAATACAGCTGAAGCTTAAAACTGACAACAGTTCAGTGGGACTCGAAGTAAAAAGTTATTATTTAAAAGGGTTATTTGAAAAGCAAAACAGCACTTGTCAAACTGACAGCTCCTAAACAGGCAGCTATAACTGAAAATATTCTGTAAATTGCATCTGTAATAAGTTTCCTTGATTTCAGACTCATGTAACTATTTCTACACCTCCCTTTGAACAGAACAGAGAAAAGGAAATAAAAATCCATTAGGATAGATAAACCACTGACTTTTATACTTGAAGCTCAGTTTGATATATCAGACATAAATGCAAGGATCTTCCACTTGCTTAGGCATTTCCTCTGCCCTGGGGAGGATGTACACATTGTAAAATCTGTAAAGTTTTACATACTTTCACTATATATAAACATGGCTTTTGCAAAACTGTTCAGCGTTACATAACATTTTCCTGACATATACTAGAAAAATCTGGTCACTTCAGTGCCTGTCAACACGGAGCTGTCTCCACACCTGCAATGTATCTACTGCTGTCATCTTCTGACAAAAGCTGCCTCCTTCTGAGGTTACAGATATCAAAACACACCAGGCAGATGCTCCTCGATAGCAAGGCGTGTGTATTAAGCAACGCTCATGGAGGGCTCTGGTTTCCCACAGCGCAAGCAGGAGTTTGTTGTGATTCTTCACATCAAAACTAAAGCTGCTCTCGTGCATGCACCTGCATGCAGGTGGACACGTGTTTTACCACTTAAAGTGGGTAACCCAGGACAAGTTGTTTCCTTCTGTACATACAAGTTGATCCCCGTGGCCTTTTTTTCCCTCTGCTTTTGTTTTTTAATGAAAGCTCCAGTTCTAGTACGGTCACTCCATATTAAAGTTCTGAGAACTTTAACAAAACACAAGTGGAGGAAGACCATGGTTGCAATTAGAGTATCTACAAGAAAAATTATCTATGTGAATTGCATATTTTAGAGGGAAATTAGTATTGATAACCCAATAAATAAATATTCTGACATCTAACATAGAGACAGATGAGGGCTACAACAGAATTCCCCCTTGCCTATGGCCATGACGGCACTGATGTGATTTTGAAGTGGTTAATGAGAACGCTGCTTCAGAGGCAGAGTCACATCCTGTTTCTCATTCACCTTCCATGCTATTTATGTGGTAAGTCATATTTCTATTGCCAAAACAGCGTGAAGTTGTCTTACCCTGGTGATGTCCCTTAGTGCACATTAGCATGAAAATAATTAATTTATCTGGGATTAGTTACATATTTTAATATCTTCATCCCTGGTATAATTCTCTCTAAGGCCTCTACCTCAGTAAAAGCAATACAACAAAGATAAACTTTCCCTGATTTGTCAAAACGAAACACATTCCTTGTTGGGGATATCTAAAAGATTAGAGCGTTAGAGCATTTTGTGACTAGCAGGCAGCTGTAAATACATATTAATTTAACCCTTCCAAGCAACAGCTCTTCAGATGTGTTGCAGTTCAAATGGCTGCAGCGACCTGGTTCAGGGACGGCACGGCGACCACCCCCAAACCACTCGGGCTATCAGCTAGTTGACACAAATGTGGTGGACGGCAAATGGCCTTTATTGATGGGAAACAAGGTGTTATATATCTAGGTTTACAACGTCACATCCGTCTGCTTACACCATAGACTAAACACTATTGGCTACTAGGGGCCCTATCTTTCCGTACAGCACGATATCTTCCGGCCGCCGTTCCCTAACTATCTGCAACACAGATGCACAAGGTGGGAAATATTTTTAACTTTTAAAAATTATATTTAGGCATAAGATATTTATAAATAATTAAACACTAGTAAATTCTACTAAATACTGCCAATTAGGCTGAGAGGCTGCTGAGGCTTTCCCTGGACCACGACCTTCTCACAGAAACCCATGATCTTGCTGCACAATAGTTGGGAATTGCTACTAAACAGCTGCTTGCATGCAGTGAAATTAAGGTGCTACTCTTTCATTTTATGCCACGCACGGAGTTCAGAACATTACCAAAAATTCTGATATGGTTGAAACCTTTTGTTCTTCAAAAAATACTTGCATGGTCACAAAATGTCGCTATCTTCAGACATGACTGGAAAAAGCAGAATAATCTGAGTAGGATTGGCCGATTCCTATAGGGTTGCCCCTCAATTAGGTGAATTTAGCTTGTTTTAACACACAAAGATGGGGCCTGGGAGCCCAGAGGCCCAGCTGGAGCAGAAGACGGTGGCGTCGCAGCTCTGCTTTAAGGGTTAAAATACGATCGCTCCCTCCCCACTGAAGCTCCTTTTCCTCATCACCAATCTCCTCCAGTGGCACAGCCAGAGGCTTAGGGCTTGATTGAAGATGCAGCCTCCTTCAATCTGCTTCCTGGCCACGCTAACACCTTGTGGACTTTTTTACTCAGAACAAAGACGGAGGGCTTAACCTTTCTGCGGCGTGAATATTGGAGATGGTATCGCAGATGCCATGCTGTAATAGACACCTGGCTAAATCCCTGCAGAGGATTATAACTTGCATTTCCAAACTGGGGAAGGCTGCTGAGGTCAAGCAGACCAAGATTTTAAGAAGGAGCAAAATAAACTTTCAAGAAACAAGTCACAGCAACTGATTTTTATACTGCTGCCTCAAGGTAGTTAGCTCAGATGTACTAGCCAAAAAAAAAAATAGAGCCTGATTCAAGTTTGGAGTGAGGCAGTGCAGTAAATTACTGCACTGAAGTAACACTTTTGGAAATAATAGAATATTTTTCTTTTCTGAGAGATCATTAGAAGTATTTCAGTTGGTTCCATGCTGTACATTGCAGATGACTACACAACATATATAACTAATAGCAACCATAGCCCTAGTGCAGAAGTTTACATTTTCCATGTGATTTCTAAAGAAGAATTGCATATTTACCATGACAGAGCCAGGTTATGAAACCACTGATTGTGAGGTACTATTCATTTGGACTAGACCCACTAAAGTCAGGGAGGTGGATTAGCTACCTAAGAGGTATGTAATCTGTCACATAATAATTTATATTATCAAATTTACTGCATCCATTAGCTAGTTTTTCTTGGTCAACGTCCCTAGAATTACTGCAATGATGAAGACAGGATGTCTCAACATAAGAACATTTTAGCATCAATAACTTTTCATCACTGCAGTGACAGCATTTTAAGTTAATGTGAATTATTATATATTTTTTTAAGTGTTAAAACACAGTGCACAGTCAGTGCTCTCTTTCACAGGGCTCCCAAGTGAGAGGCATGTGGCTGCTCAGACAAGCACCATGAGCAATATGAATTCGCTAAAAATAGCAAAAAGAAAATAAAAAAATGTTTAAATCACTTCTGTAGAGACTTAAAATTTTAAATTATGAAGGACCTGATTGGCTAGATATAAATAATAAAACCTACCAACTTCACACACTTCTAAGCTTGAAAGAACATTGCAAAATAGGGCCTGCAACAAGCTCAGTGCAGGCAGGC